TTAAGCACGACTTAAAATTGAGTAACGTTTCAGTATTCCGGCATTAGTCACATAAACTTAATGCGGTCATCATACAAGAGTTTGAGAAACGCTGTTCTACATTATTACAAGCACATACATAACTATGTACATACATACATACATAATCAATAATATAATAATACAATATCACGCCTTTTTATCCCCGAAGGGGTAGGCAGAGGTGCACATTTCGGCACTCAATGCCACTGTACAATGTAACACCCACTTTTCACTATTTATGTTATAAGTCCCATGTAATAGGGGGTGAGCCTATTGCCATATACCGGGCACATTTCCAGACTACTCTACTACTAGTCTGGAAATGTGCCCGGTTATGTTAGTAGAGTTTTGTATGTAGACATAACTATGTCTACATACAAAACTACTATACTTTTGCGGACATTGAACTGGACTTATCCTGAATACATACAAAGTCAACTATGTTAATTAAATTCACAAATTAAAATGTTTTCGAGCCTAAATTGGGAAAGGATTGTTTGAGAACACTTGAACCTTTGATTAACATTTCCGTACCATCCAACCTAATTGTTTTATAAATAAGGTTAAAACTAATATGGTTTCTAGTGTTCTGATCCCCTTATATCTATGTATTTAGTATAAATCAATACGTTGTCAAACCTATGGCACTTAAATGATACCAACATAACCATTTTATATCATCAACAAAATAGTTTAGGCCTTTTACTACAGAGTGTCCGCTATCTGTTCATCAAAATAAATCAATCGGTGCTTAAATATATTGCGATGTTACTTCAGACAATAATATAACATTAAAATTCACTGTCTTTTCTTAATCCCTTTCAAGGTCTTTCTTCTCTCGATACCAAGTTTATTTGTAAAAAGACACCGTAAAAACTCGTAAGTATACCTTACCCAGTTACATTATATGAATATATGTACATACATAGTTATATGCCATGTACGCACACACCAACATATATGTGTATAATTTCAAGGAAATAATACTCTTTTCCGTTTATAAATACATTATCCAGAAAATCTCCAATGGTAACCCGGGTAACATTTATTACAACCACCTTTATCCTTATATCCTTATACTTACGGGATAAGAAATAAAAATATCAATTTTGTACTCACAAAAAAGACGGGTATACTTCGCCGGATACCCAGATAAATGTAGGCCTGTCGTTTTATTTTGGATATAAATAAAATTATGTTACCAGTTTATAGCATATAGGTATCTAAAATGTTATATCTTTTGTCACTTGTAATGGGTTTATAAATTTATAACTTATAACTTGTTACACGAATGTGAGTACCAATACAAACCAGCTGTGGTTTAATAGTGCAAAAAATGGTTCAAAACTGTACTGAAATGTAAAAATAAATAATTAAATAAAAAAACGGCTGTAGAAATAATAGACGATGTAGTCTTCATACTGATCTGTATTTAATACATTGGTAGACCAAATGAACTGACTGTTGGACTGCCTCGTTTGCCGAGTGGTCGCAAATGCGAGTGGGCGGCAATGGGTCTTGGGTTTGATACCCAGTTCGGGCAAAGTATTACTGGGTTTTTAAAACATTCTCAGTAGTAGCATGGAGTCTGGAATTGTGCGCGGTATATGGCAATAGGCTCACCCCCTATTACATGGAACTCATAACATAAATAGTAACAAGTGGGTGTTACATTGTACAGTGGCATAGAGTGCCGAAATGTGCATATCTGCCTATAGAGGTACATTCGGGGATAAAAGGAGTATTTAATGATTAAAAGAATGTTTAACATAACATATCATCATAACATCGAAATAGATTTGATATTTTATTCTATCTACCAACAGGTTATATGCCTTTGACTTGAAATTCATATTGGTATCAACACTACTTCAGTCTGAATGCAGACTTGATGTTACATTAAAATCTCTTTGCAATATGAAAATATTAACATTGGTATTGCACACAGCTACACCACTGTTTACCCTACAAAGCTATTCTCGTCTGTGGAAACGCCCACCCTCAGTATGATACGTAATATACGAGTCTTCAGCATAATTAGTCGGATTACATGCCAGGCTTGTATTTGACTGCCTAATTACGCCCATACAATGCTGAAAGACAGCTTCTGGCATTGTCTATGTGTGTATGAATTCCTATTATTGTCAATGCTTTGAATACCATAACTTCACGCCTGTCTCCCATGGGAGTAGGCAGAGACTATGGAACGCCAATTACGACGATCCTACATACCTCTTTCGCTTCATTAACAGTCATCAATCTTTTCATGCATGCTCGTCGGTTAAGGATTCTTTTAATTTGGCCCTTCTTTAATATATCGCCAATCTGCTCAGTGTATGTCCGTCGAGGGCGCCCTCTACCGTCGGCCCCATTCATATTCGCTCTGTATACTTCTTTCGTTACTATACTTTCATCCATCCTTTCTACATGTCCAAACCAGCGTAACATTCCCTTTTCAATCCTTATCACTACATCATCTTTCAATCCACACCTTTCTCTAATAACAAAAAAAGATACTCTTTTTTTGAAGTTCTGTTGACGTTATTTTATGTTAATTAATTAAGGTTATAATTAGCAAAGGTGTAACCCCCACTTTTTAGATATTTTCGACAAACCGAAACGCCTTTAATTTGTCTTACCCAAGTATCGAACCAGAATATAATACAGTAGCACAATCCATGTACTCTGTATCCATCTATAGTCTTTTGTAACCAAACCTTTAAAGTTTCAACAACAACAAATCTTCCACGATCGTATTAATTAACTTTTTAATCTTCTCTAATACAATAAATACAGGTTCGTAATTTGTACAACACATCGTTACAAATTCACGAAACCATACAGTTTCCACCGACCTTTGTAACTGTAGTAACCGTAAAATGGCCACATGAATTCAACTGTAAATACTGTAATGCATCACAGTTAATTTAAAGTAAATAACAGCCATAAGCCGTTACCTGTATTTTTACTAACAAGTAATATTGCAGAAGAAAATCCAACCACATTTTCTGCTTAAGTACCTAAGTAAGTACTAAGTAAGTTTTCCAAGTTCCTTATCATAAATATTTAAGTCAAGAACTTGGGTTTGCATGTGGAAACTTAGGTCTGAATTTGAGACAACTGGGTAGGTAACTACTTGGTTTCCTAAGTTGTGAAACTTTTGCACTGTCTTTAAGAAAGTTTATTTTAACTCGTCGAGTACCGGTTTTATAGACACAATTAAAGAACAATAGGTCGCGGTCACCGGTGACCGCTCGGTGTTTGACAGATTAAGACCTGAATAAAGAAAATTTTATACGTATGTACATACCTATAACTTTTTAGTATCGAATGATATTATAACATAATAATTATATGTATTTAGTATCTTTAATTGGTTAAGTTACTTAGTACAGTAGGTTCTAAAAAAAAACAAAACATTTATTTCAATTAGACCAAGAAGGCACTTTTGAACGTCACAATAAAATATTGAAATATTAAAAAGGTCCGTCTATCGGTCAGTCCTCTTGTAAAGCTATTTGCTTGTTCTAAAGTGTAGATTCCTATGGAGAAAGCGAGAAAGAAACTCCATAAGTTACTCTTTTTCTATGAGGTTCACAATAAATTTCTTGGTGGTTACATTGTTTCATTGGTTCAATTATGTGAGAACAATGTCATGTTCAGTAATGTTTAGATCCAGAATCCAGTTAGTATTAAATACTTACTATTCTTCTTCTAAACTCTATGAGTACCATCATTATAGACACAATTAAAGAACAATAGGTTGCGGTCACCGGTGTCGTCGCGGTGTTTGACAGTTTAATCTTTAATAAGTACTACAAAACGAAATTATCCGATTTCTTAATAAATCCATCGATTTACGTCATACTCAAGTTCTACGTTTCTTTAAAATAATGACAATAAATTAATACAATCTTGCCGTACCATTTCAAAAGATTTTGGAAAATAGTGTTTGACCTAGTTATCAGTAACAAGAATGATTCTATATGGCGAAGAGGATACCGCTAGGTCTGCCATCGACGTGTAAATAAACGGACTAACGAAACCTCAAAGCTAGGATGATCGGCGTGTGTAGTGCTTCCCTATTGAATTCATCCACCTGCGTTTGACATCCCTTAGATAAGCCTAAACAATACGTAATGCCTAGACAATATGACGGATAATGCTTTGGCAATACAGTACTAGGTATAGTGCCTGGTGTAGATACACCAGCATGGAAGGACTGAGGGGTCTTATAAAAAAATCACAGACTATTTTCATTAGCATTCATTTATTCTGGGTAAACCGTTATTTTACAAAGTGCTTATACTCTATACATAACTAAATCTAAGTTACAATAGTATACCTATAAATAAATACATTATTCATATAAAATCACAACTTTATTCAAGGCAATTTTAGGATCAATCTTTCAGTGTATAGTCGCTAACAGAAAGAAAACGGATTATTTAATTCGTCACTAAACTATGTACAAATAAAAATATTTTAGAGAAAAGTTGTCTATCTTTTAGCAACTATATTATATTTAATTATTAGGAAAGTTACATGTCTATTGATATTTTAAAACATTAATTCAATATTACTTACTAACATTGATTATATCTAAAATACAATATACATATAACAACTTATAAAATGTAGCAACGATCTATACCTAAAAGGGGATAAAATCTAGAGGACATTTTTATTAAGTGCGCTTTCTAGTTGAGGAACCATAAAACATTATAATATAAAACATACTATGAAACTACGTATTATAATACATCTCTATGATACTGAAAAGGCTAATGAAGGCTCTGAAAATATCTATTGGATAACAATATACATCTTTATTGCGTCGTTGTAAATATAAATATTCTTTAATAAAGAAATATTATTAGATTCGGCATTATGAAGGCACATTTCGATATGATCTGGACCATGTATTCTGAATCTAAATATAATTTAATTAAAACTACTGTTTCATAAAGCATTTGTCTTTAGTGGACTCTGCCCATGTCCATACCACCAAGTTGTCCTAAGTAAGGATAGCCAGACTTGGCCTCAGTGGGCGAATGCGCGTGCGAGGCGTAATGAGACGCGTTGGTGCCGAAGAATGAACTGTAACAAAAGAAAAATGAATATTAAAAATCGAATATTTCTTGTTAGCTCACTGCCTTACATTGGAGCTCGTTATTCCCAATAACTATTAATAGCTGATACTTCTAAAGCCGATACGTAGGCGTCACGTAACAATGCATAGAAGTCTACATAAATTCTAGGTCTTTTTACTTTGCTATCGCAGACACGTCTTCCATATTGTCAATATTCTTTACAACACAAAATATACCTATATTGCATTTTATTAAAAGTCTGAGCGTGGGATACGAGCTGTATTGCGTGATTTAATCGCTCCATAGGTTCCGTTCGGTGAACAAACGTAGTATCGAGAATCTATCGATTACACAAAACATAATTAAATAATAACACAGTGTAAGCTCTAATGCCGCCTTGTAATTGTGACTCGTACCGGCCTACCGAACTACATAATTTACCCGAGGTCTCTATATGCACAATAAGCAGCGGGATTTTCGGAAGCATTTCGTGACCGGGCGTGCAATAAAATTTTAATTTATAGTTAATACAGTGGCTAATACATTATTAAGGTACATTAGTGTCGTACATCGCTCATAAACAACGAAGGCCGCACGTAATGCTACGATCACAATGAAAACCTACATTTTGCTGCTCCGAATAGCATAATTACTTTGAAAGGCAGTAAAAACGTTTTCTCTTGTGAATATTATTCTAGGTAGTTCCGAGAGCTAGCTAGATGTTGTAGCCACGACTATTAGTTATTAGTTGTTACTTAACTTCATCCCACATACCATAGTGTATCCTTATGGTAAATATGTGCATAAACATTTTAACATGAGAATGCAACACGTGCGAAAACAATAACCGAGCGAGTGTTTCTGTGGAGGAAAGTGTTCGAGGCAAGGTGGTTGCTCCGCGCCGCACGCGAGGCTTACTGCAGTTTAGGAAGTCGAATGCAAATAGCTGCAGATAAGTTTTAATACCGGGTTCGCGTTAGCATAATGCTTAGGTTCACTGCACTAATGTCACGTTCGGCCTCTCATTAATTGCCGAGCCGGCCACAAAGCAACGTGTGTTTATCTGTTATCCGCTACGTATTGTACCGGCGTAGATTTCTAATATCAATAAATGATCGACCAGCATTACTTGGAAGCCATTAACCTAAACAAACGCTATGTTGTTGCTATTTCCAAGCGAATGAAATAGGATAAAGTGTTACTGAAATTCGATGAATTTGTAGCGAAAAAATATGGCTTTCAATAAATAAAGGGCAGCTGATTGTGTTTACTTTCATCAATTACGCGGATGAAATGTGTTATTTAATTAAACATTTCAGTAACGGACGACGAGGAATTAATATCAGTAATAATGAAGCGGTATTTTTCTCTTTAAAACAACGATACGTACAATTTCGAATATTATTTCGATTCAAAAAAATTATAGTGGTGAGTCAAAATTATGATTAATATGACTGGGTATCGATAAGCTATGTAAGTACAGAAAGGTTTTTATATTTCAACGTCGATAAAATACCTAATCGTTTCTCATTGTATGTAACGTACAGTAAACGAGTACACCGTAATTTCAAGTAAATACTAGTGTCGTAAAACCACCGGAGCGACAAATAAAATAAGCTATGAGGTGACAATCACAATCGCTATTTATGGCCAATGACTGTCCAAGTGGCCATGTTAATTATAGCGATACCTACGTAATTACGTACGTACGTATCTCACTACTAATACATAGGCAGCTTGCTGATTTATTGTGACTCACGGACATTGTACAAAATATAGCTTTTCCGGCTACAGCAACATCGCATACAGCCGACAAAGGTTCCATCAAATGAATTTCCTTCTATTATATTTTCGTCAACAAATAGATATGAAACGGCCATTAGCCACACTTTCGGCACACAATACAATATTTTTGGCAGACAAAAATAACAAATAGAGTTGAAACGAAGTGTTACGTCAATCAAGCGCGCGTAAAGGACTAGATAAGACATACCGACACGCAAACGTAGCTAACCCATATATTATTAGTTTGTCTTCTATTGTACAAGGAGAGATATTGTGTGTGGTCCAATGTAAGGTTTATAGACGTGCTTTGTCTCGATAACACAGATAAATGTCGTCGCCGTATACAGTACAAAGCGACAATGTATTTGTCACATTGTCATTCGACAAATTCACTTTGGTAGTTACATATGCTATCGACGCGGGCACGAGCGAAATGTTTTCTACGACCCTCTTTTTGTTGTTATAAAACTCCGGTTTCAGAGACGACAATACATCGTAATAACTAAGTAAAAATTTAATTAAAAATCGATGCGAAATCACTATAAAATTCGCAGCCCTATTGCGTTCACGATCGGATCGGCTTATTACGAGGCGCGCGCTGTAATAACCACCCGCGCGGCGTATAATGGCCGACTTCTTACACTCTTAATTGATTAGCGGCCGCTTCGGCTAATGATAAAGGAAGGTGAAAAGAAATAAAACGTACGCACCCCGATTTGCGATCGAGCCCACGCCCGATCGATAGCCACCGGACGCGGCATTACACGCATCCTATGTACACGGTCGAGAATCACGAGCTCACGACACGAGATGACGACGACAGCTCGCGTCATACTCCTCACTTGTGCATATTGACTAACACGAAATGATGTCATTGCGAACGTGCGCCCTAAACCTACTATTAGTGTAACAGTCATATCTGGTATCCACATAATAGACAGTTATTTAAATGGTTGGCAGCAAAGGTCACTTTATTGTAATTGCATATTCATCCGTGTAAGCTAAGCCAGATGAGTAGCTCGACATCAATAATTCATAGAACTACTTAGTTGCCGTCGGGGATTATTGAGATGTTTGAAACTGTGTTTTTAATATGAACGTCAAGATAAATTGAAAGTAGAATTAATCAACTTACCTATAGTTTTCAGGCCAGGCGCTGACTTCTGCTAGTTTGTTTTGCGGATGACCGCTGAGTTGCCTAGTGGTCCAGTGATTGTGTGCTGACATGGCGTGCTCTTGCTTCGAGTAGTCTCCGTAACCATACGGGTGAGATATAGGTTCACTTGGATTCGCATATGTTGAATGTTGGTAAGTGAGCGCACTGCTCTGGTTTGCAGAAGGACTCGTCGTGGTTGGACTTGAGCTCGGAGGGGTTGGCTCAGTAGGTGCTTGTAAGGGTGTAGCAAGCTCTGAAGAGTGGGAAAGGGGTGTTAGGTTACCGGAGGAGAATGAACTTGAAGTTGGGGGATGGAGACTGGACGCTGCAAGCGCTGACTGGCATACAGAAGGAGCAGTTAATGCTGATTGATGTAGGGAAGGAGCTAGAGCGGAGTTCAGGACGGAGCTGGTACCCAACGCTGATGAATATGACTGTTGCCAAGATGCACATTGTGCGTTGAAAGTGGATGGAGGCTCGTATTGTTGGTGTACTGATGGGAACGCTGACTGTAGAGACATGGTGTTGAAGGCACTCAGTTGTTGCGAGTTCAATTGTTTTCGAAGTCGAGCTCTTCGGTTAGAAAACCATACCTAAACAAAACAAACTTTAATTAACTCCTTGTTAAGAATAATTAAACATTACTGATTGCTCAATGCAATCTGTACGAGGAATCCAATCAGTTAATTACGTTTATAATTAATATTGTTACAAAGTGTTCACTTTATAAGGCTACGATCGTAAGCCTCGCAAAAAACATGATTTGAATTTATGCGAGCAAAATATTATGATGCTTTGACAGTAGCTGCGATTGATACTGCTATAAATATTACGAATTCCCAACTCATCAATAGATAATTACAGTGGTAAGTCGATTATACTGTCTTATAGAAGCCTACAATTACGAGGGGCAACAAATTGAACAAAAACTTATAAAACATCGGTAGCGATGAACAACATATGGTAGCTATTACTATTGTTGTAATTAATTATAAAGGTAATTATGTTTTTTTAGTGCCACGCTTTTGTAGGGGCGGGAAGTGAGTGTGGCCAACAATGGGATTGTTTGATAGCGTTCATCTATCATTGATACTCCCAACCTGTTTCGGGTTAGCTACCGATACTCATTGTATCGTATGCTCTTGAGAAAACAAATTACAGGTTTAATAAGACGTGTTTAAACATTGACTGGTGGTTTAATATTTATAGGATCGTTCATTATACTCGAAGATGAGAACATAATCACGTAAATGACTTAAAATGTTGCAGGAAAAATAACTAACTATTCTGTAAGCACTTAAAGATCTCAATAGTATTAAGTATACAAACCTGAACTCTAGCTTCGGTCAGCTTGGTTTTCTGTGCGAGTTCTTCCCTGGTGTATACATCAGGGTACTGAGTCCTGGTGAAAGCGCGTTCCAAAGCTTCCAGCTGGTCTCCTGAGAAGGTGGTCCTAGACCTTCGCTGTTTCCTCTTCAATGTGATTCCTGGCTCCGACTCGGTATCTGAGTCTTCACAAGATGATGGACCTGATGAATAAAAAATACTTTGTTGATGCAAGGCGATAAGTACGGAGCAATGAAGCTTAAATTAATATCATCGAGGGACTATAATTCCACGGTTTCTAAATGTAAGTAGGTTCCAAATGGCCTCAGTCACATAGATGACTTTGAAATAATATGAGTTTTGTCGTCGTCGTAATAATTTTTATTGCGACTTTCTAACATCATTTGTTTTTGTTTTACGTCGATTATATTGGACTACCGCGCGGACCACACGCGGCCACGATTAAATTAAACGTAACCACATTACACTACGCCTCTACTAGCCTCAAATGAATTCTTCGGGGCCTTAATAAATATTACTTTATGCTAGCTGATAATAAAATGAAATTAGATTATAGAGAACAACTTGATCACGTTCTTATCTCGTGTTATGAACATCCGATGAGACGTCGGAACCAATTAATATTTTTTTGCTGTTCATGCGTTTGGGTGGATCTGTACAATGTACAAACGAAAAATAAACAAAAGTACAAGTATGCAAATTTTCAATATGCAAAACTTGTTTGGACCCTGAAATAATAATCAACGGCCGATGTTCCCAAAGTACGCGCGTAGGTATGCAAATATTTCCACGAAAAACTCGCGACCAAAATGCACCGTTACCGCCGTCGCAGGACAGGCACGAACAGCAAATTTTCAATACGCGAGCTCGCGCAGTAAAGGGGGCCGCTTTTCCAGTGTAGATATTACTTTGGCCGCGCACAACTTAATATGCATAATCTTATCGGTGCGCAGAATCTCGCCGGCAAAACCGCGCTCCGTCACTGAACCGGGATATTAGGAGCGCCATTTTATATTGGATAGCTATACGGCACAAGACGTGCAGTACGGACAGATTGTCGTAATGCAAGCCCCGCGGCCAAACGCGATGGGATAATAACACCTTTGGATACTAATTTCATTTTTATAACCTACAATTTCGAAGCCGACACAAGGGGCGCTGCCGTGGCGTGCGCGCGCGCCGCGCCCGCTTCACTTTTACGTGGATTATTAACTTTATACGCCATTTTGTGAAGTTTGCAAACGTTCCGACAGTCTCATTATAAGAATAAATTTATAATAATAGTATGCTTTGAACTAAATTAAGTGATTATGGTCTCGAATCAGCGTTAAGGACTACGATGACACGGCGAGTTATTTACGCGTCATTATGTCGAAGGTTTCGTCAGACACTTTTTAAATTATTGAATTGAATCTGTCAGGGACTTTGAAATATTACTAAACACTCAGCGGTACCTATCCACGTTGACCTTGCACGTGGAAATAATAGACTCAGAATAAACCACAGCACAGTTAATTCTTTATCAAGAGAGCAGCACAACAAACTAGAGCAATATAAAGTTTTATGCAAACACACAACGCGGTATTACTTTTCAAGCGGTAAAGTGCTCCTTCAAACTATGCTACCAACTGATACGGCAGACTGCCTAAGGTCACTGCAACATGTTTGTTCGCATTGTGAATTGTTATTGAAAACATTGCAAATTGAAATCAATTCAATAATGCAAAACAATGTCTACCAATCCGAGGTAAGTATTATTACTTACCTAGAATACCATCAATGCTGTGATTTCTTCTAGGATCTGATTCATCCCTTTTGCCTCCTCGTATTAGTCTCGAAATGGAACTCACAGATGGCGCTGTGTTTTTATCACAAATGCCTTCTTTAATTAGTTTATCTCTAATTTCCCAGGAAAATATACCTGGGTTTTGTCTCTTCAGCTCTTCTATCCTGTTCTCAACTTCAGGAGTCGCAACTCTTGGCTTGGACCCACCAATCACACCGGGACGTATGGAACCCGTTTCCTGGTGACAATAAAAACTTCTTTAGTCTTACATTTTCTATCGTGTTCAAAACGAAAATCAAATCCAATAATTTTTGACCATAAACTCGAACGTGTGTGGATGTGTAAAAGTTTCCTCACCTGGTATCTGTTGAGGATCTTGGAGACGCAGCCATGCGAGACGCGGAGCTGGCGCGAGATGACGCAGGGCCGCACTCCCGCCGCTGCCATCTCCACGATTTTCAGGCGGATGTGGTTCGGCAGCGGACGACCGTTGATGAACACGCCACCCAACTGGTTCATACGACCCTGACCTGCGGAATTAAGTACTCTTAGCATTCTTCTAATATTTAATGTTTTCCTACACAATTCCTAACTCACTAAAGTGAACATAAACAGACAACGTGTATGAAAACCAGTTGCGAATCAACTTGGCTATAAAAGCTAAGCCCTCTGATTGTGTGTATTCTACTCGTGAAGAATATATTCCAGTATTCTTTATGTTCCTGATTCTTTGGCGCACTCTCCGTCTTTTATAGATGTAAATACATCAATATATTAGATTATTGTGAAATGTTTTGTGGTGCTGTCGCCCGAATGGAGGCTCGTCTTTATATTGGATCTGTATTAGTAGGCCAACCAGTAGCTATATTAAACTCAAATAATGCGTAAAGTATGAATAGCAACAATACATTATGGATCACAAAGCTGCGGCACGGTTGCACGTCGCTCGCTCCTACACGCTCTACAATAATATGTACCTACGTCATCGGTAGGCCTCGATCACCTCGTAATTTTACGTTTCATTGGCAGTGTTCTCAAGCAAGAGTATCCAATTTCTTTTACACGAGTGCGGTCAAGCAGAAACGATAACACTTAAACTATTTCTGGCCTTTGTTGGGATCGACTTGTTACATTTTACGAGTATCGACTTCTGTTCTCACAAAAAATATATGTTATTCCTAGATTAAATGAAATAGTTTCTCCCGAGTTCTTGTTGTGTGGAGAATTCACAGAGATTGATAAATCATTCTTCATTTTCAACAGTCAAAAGAAAGTCATCAAATTTTTAATTGGTATTTTATAGCGATGGGTATCGTGAGCGGTAATTAAGTTGGCGGCTTCAATGGTGTTTGCGAATAAAATCCCTTGGAATATAAATTGTATTATTTCTGGATATATTAATGTGGTTATGTGTGCGTAAAGTGTCGCTATTATAATCACATCATTCGTGCGGCCGGTGGTTGGGAGACCACCTAACGTCAAAGGAAGCCGACAGTCGTCGATTTTTGCAACGCCTTCGTGCATGCATGTTAACTTCTATTGGGAACGAGATGATGATCAAATATATCCAGCAGCTATACATATTATACAATAGAGCCATTAATGTGATTGTGAGGATATTTTTTTTATTAAATAACCACAAATCAATTAACAGCCAGTTACTCATTAGCGTTTTTTTTTTATTTTTTTTCTTTATGTTGAAGAAATTATTATCTACATTTTGAAAAACGAAACCGAAAACATGAAACTACTTAACTGACTATATTAAACCCCGACCGCATAATACTAGTTAAAAAAACATGTTACAGTGGCATGTTCCACTTGTGAAAGCATTTATAGTTTATCAATTTCAAATAATTCCTCAAAGGTTCCGCCTCATGTAAGGCCCTAGACCCCTACTGAGAACCACCAATCAATTAGACAACATGTCAACAAGTATGTCCTTTGATAAGACAAGAAACCGATACGGATATAAATTATACAATCAAAAGTAGACCATAACACAAACAACTTAGAGTTAATAACTGTATCCATCAATACAAACTCCCCGAACGAACAGGAAAGTAGTAAAGAATATCGGATTTTGAACCTTCTTTCTGTGAACAGTAAAACTATTATTGTTTTTATAATGAAGTGCTTTTGTGGTGTCCGGAGTCACGCCGCGGTTCTGCAAGCGATCCCCATATTTTTTGTAGGAGGCCGTAGACGTTGCGGTGCCTCGAAAGCCCATGTTTTTGAGTGTTAATTTTATGTTCCCGAAATATTTATGACGCATAACGTGTCCATAACAACCCTGCTATACAAATGTGGGTGGCTTTGTAGTAATGTATCACTTTATTATAATATAGTTCTCATTTTGGCGAGATAGTTTATAACCGTCATATTTATAGCTCCATTGATTTTTTGTCTAAGGAGATATAGGTATTATATTCACGAGGTTGAAAGATCAAATTCCATATTTCAATACTTTAATAATTTTATTAACATAAGATCCTTAATCAAAATCAGAATCACATTGAAAAATATGAATGGAAAGAATTAGTCAAAAAAATCTGCTAAACGTGATTCGGATTCCTACTTGCAACCAAACTAACAGGATCAGTCAAACACGCAATTGACGAAAACATCACAATAGAATTCACAAAGAGCATCTCAAGTGCACAATGCGTAATAGAATTCGCAAATATTGTAACGCTATTAACGCAAAAGAAGTTGAAGTTAACAACAAATTCAAACATTCATTGAAAACTAATCGTCCGGAAGTGCTCTCAGATCATGCACAAGTTGAGCGCAACAATAACAGCTACGAGGGTGGTACGTTAATGTTAGGCACTGCAAATAAAGATGAATTGACATAAAAAAAAACTCAGTCACTAGGTCGACGTCGAAAATACAGTAGCCGAATGTATCAATACCCTATCTGTCAATATTTTTTACTCACGCGTTTTATTCATAGCAAGCAAGTCTCGTCTGCTTGAAACATAATCACACACTAAACTTAGACATAGACACCGTTGCACCGTTGAAGTATAAAATTTTCTCACAATCACATAATCGTGTTCCGATTCGTTCAACCGTTGCGTTCGTGTTAGACGAAATTGAAACAGAGTCAATCATTTAATGCTAAACGTAAGAGGCAAACCGTGACCGAATAAATGAAGATTCTGAATTCACCATTCGCATTTCTGTGTCAACTTTAATTAACAATCACATTTTCATCAACCTTCGTAGTACTTTCGGGTTATCACTTCCATTGTCGGATACAGATTGAATTTCTTAACCTTCCATCTTTGCTATGACGAAATTCATTTTCTGTTTGTACAACTTCAATTTCTTAATTTTAAAACCGTCTCAAAAGTATGTTGCACTTTGATTTGCACTAATCGGCATGAACTGAAATGGTGCACTTTGTTTCAATGTATTGCACTTTATATTGTTGAAACGTTTGATGTCTTAGGGAATTGCTATTACACTAGCAGTGGGTTCTACACGGGAATGACGGCTAATAAAAGTTATGAGCGCAATAGGCGTAAAGATATCTCGACCTCATACCAGGCTTCGACGTACACCTGGGCCCAGTATAACTGCTTTGATTATTTACCAGTTAGAATAACTCTTGCAAGTTCATGAAGGACTTAAATAACCGCTCTTTCACTTCATGTCAGATGTTTATTTCGATGGAACATGAAGTCGATAAGTAATGTTTGTCGAATGTATTTCTTGTAGTTAAATTAAAACAATTGCCGCAACTTCTTGATAACAATGGTACAGTGATAGTTTATAATGTTTTAAGTCGATATCGTATTGTGTAAATAAATCGTAAACCCCGTTTTCACAATCATAATATGTTTCTGCTTGCAAATCAATTTCACGTAGCGACATTAATGTGCCTATAGTAAAATTTATATGGGGCTTTACGTCACACGCCATGCCGCTTTCCTTCCACATGAGTTGTACCAACGATAACTGTACGACGAGTGGGTTCTACGAAACCTGGTCATAGTTCAGGAAATCTAATTAATGTTCCAGTCGTTTTTGCCTTCGTATTGCAAATTATGAAGCTACAACACGTTTTGTACGCACTTCTACGCCGCACCGCTGCGTTGCGTCTCTGTGCATCAATGTTGTTAACATGTAACAACTTTAGAAATTGAACGTTCATACACATACACTTGATTTATTAGTGTTTGAAGTTTACGTATTGGACAATTAATACCTATACATAATTGGAGAGCTAAGTCTAACTTTTGTCGTAGGTAGACTTACGATATATTTTGTTGTAAATTCGAATTATGTTTAAATGTATATTTTTGCCTTTATATTTTTCAAGTACAAAAGTCTGTATGTTTTGGCATACACATTTGTCTAGGAAAATAAAACATATGTTTTCGTGGTTGTATACATTAACGTGAGAGCGGCACAAACGACTACATACTCAGCATTGTAGAATAGCGCTAGTGGAATGTCGTGAATTAGTTGCGAAGAGGTGCCGTCAAGCTTAACACTGGTCTCGAGCCAAATTATTTTCCCAATCATAACAAAAACAGAAGTACAATAATACTATAATAGAGTCGCAGGGCAAACCTAGTGAAAAATAAATTGCAATAATATGTAGAGCGATTTAAATCAGCAACGAAGCATGCACAGAGCATACAAAATCTAATTCGATGAACAAGAAGTTTCCAACAATACATGGTCCGCATTAATAACGAGGTAATCCATTTCATTGCCAAACTAAATATAACGATTCATATCGATACAAGATTTCTTTTCTCGTTAAAAATCGTCTGTACACTAATAAAATAACCTATTACTATCCGAAATCAAACAACAAAGAGAGGTGAAATGCCATCTGAATAGGCATTAGAATTGGGCGGCGTTCACAAAGGCTGTGTCATTCCATTAAGCCTTCTTCAAGTCTTCGAAGTATTCTGTGTGGCCCGTGGTCGCGTGGCCGCTCCGCCACTAAATGTAGCAATCGAATATCAAATCAATTCTATTATACTCTCATACGAGTTACATCTCAGATACCGACTTATACCCGTCGCGGTCAGACTTTGGAAATTCTGAATTTTGTTTACTTTGTAGATGGCGTGAAATTTTCATTTCAAGCGTGCTTCTATATAAAAAAAATGTTATGATTATAATGAAAGTAGGTCAGATAATTTTAAATATAAAAATGTTGTTTTTTTTAGTTCCAGCTTTATGCGGCATATACTCTGAATTCCACATCTCAGCAAGTGGAACTGTAGCTAGGCCGGCAGGAACACAAAACTCTTTCTAATTTGTTAAAACACGAGTCGCCCCATTGAACGCGTTGCCAACTGTTCAAACTGTGGCAACGCCTTTCGGCATGTCAGAGCTGAATATAATGTACGTACCTACGTAGGTAATGAATGGAACTGAATATTTTATTTCAATATAATAGGCTATGTTTGAGAGTGCCCTGTTTGACCTCATTCTGTATTCATAACGCGTTATGTACTAATTTGACGGATTCTTTTCTTTTCTTGCACGAAATGGACTCTTTGACGTCGTCACTTGCCGCTTGGACAAAGGATTTCGCTTAAGAAACTAATAAATATACCCGTAGCTGTTTGTGCGTCAAAAATACCTTAAATTGATTGCGTTGTTTGGTTCAATCAAGCCTGATTGTGATTATAGCAAGGTTGTAATATTTCATACTAATTTTTTCGAAGATGATATCGAAAATAAATAAGTGGTATATTGCAGATGAAAATGGCAGATGTCAACACACTTGTGCAAACAGCTATCGTTTAGTTTAAAAAAAGTAAATACTACAGAAAGTGTTATTTCGAGTTTGATAAAATAATACATTTTTAAACTGTTCAACAAAGTAACTTTTTGATCATTATTTTAATGGTTGCTCTTAGTAAATAATTTAATTGAAATTGTGAAAATGATTTAGAATTCTAACAATAAAATGGATATGACTCATTCCTTTGATATTCAAGTCTAGACAAATGTTTCTTGGTCCAATTAATTAATGAATCAAATAAATTGTACTAAATCAATTAATGTCAGTCAGGTATAAACAAAAGTACAATAACATGACCTGGTGCTCCAAATTATTGAAATAATCTAGAAAGCCAAAGCTCGAACCAGTTCTAATCTTGTAGTTAATATAATTACTAATCCGACAGCCAAATGCAATGCAATTATAAAAACCCACAAGTAAAATTGAAACTGGAATGTAATAATTAAAAGGAAAAAATGATTGTGTAAGAGAAAGGTGTGTCTTTGCGACAAAGAGGCGCTTCGCCCTCGGCTCTTTAGATTCTGATTCTGATCTCATGGGCCGCGGTTAATCTGATAATCGCTTTAAAACGTTTCAACACCTAAGCGAGTGTATCGATGACTTCGGTTTTGATAATCAGATTCGATTAGCTTAGACAGAAATGATTTTAAGCAAATCATTGGTGACTCATACATTGTTTGTGTTGCTAATTGGTCATAATTGTCTTATGTTAGTCATGAGCCAAGTTAAAACTAGTACATGATCACAACCAGATTTATTCGAAAGGAGGCTCTTTTGAGTTTCTTCGTAATACGTATTTCATAAGCAAATTATCTAATAAACTGATTTTGATTAATACAACATGACGTTAAATCAAAGGTCCCGCTTCAAATATCCGTTATATCAATTTGTTTATTAATAGATCGGCATAAGTAATGGCAAGTAAGCGCCCTGAAGGTTGATCGGGCGGTGAGGCATTTCGCCGGCCGCGGGCGGAGGCGGGGGGCGCGTCATATTATGCGGCTAAAAGAGCCTGTCGGTGCCTTTGATCTGCGCGGGCGCGCCGGCAAGATGTGTGCGTGTGCGCGAGATGTGCACCGCTTGTCGGCCCGTGATATGAATGTGACTAAACCTTGATTATGGTACTGAACCCCGCATAAAGGTCAGAAATCCAATGCACCGTCATGTAGGTAGTATCATTCTTATAATTGGCTCCGTCGAAAACTGTTTAACTCTAATTGAGAAGAGAATTTACGACTGATCCGAGTAATTAACAGCAAACGTTATAGCTGTCGCAAATCTTGTGTTGCGGCCTCTAAAATGTTTATAGCAAAAGATTTATGAAAAATGCACTCTCGTTCGCGGAGAAAATTACAAGGTGCAACGCGTTGGCGATCAGTATCGCGCTTCATCGCCGTCACCTAGCCGCGGGCGCATCTGATCGCGGCGCACCACTCATCGCAGATATTATGCCAACTAATATCGACATTAACTTCCATACTTAAACTATACGCAAATGCATCATTATGCACTAACTCTTGGCATTAGAAAATTATCATATGAGACATAATGTTCAAGATAAATCTGCAATTTGATACTTGGACTTTTATAAATTGTAAGCACGTAAGCAGATAACATTAATCATGGAGCTATAATTCAAAACAAAAACAAAATTAATTTCTACAAATTACAAATGGCCGCATATTTGTAAATAATCTTTCATCCTCTTAAAGCAAAAGCTTGAACAAACGTTTTGTGATGTTCACGGGCACATCAGATGGACTTATAAGACACTAATCCCGATTTATACTCGTACTTCAGAAAGTCATATAATTTGAATTCGAATTAAAAATCGAGACATTTTTTAATATTTCAAAGAGGCCTGCACGCCTACTGCGCCGCGCCGCTTGCGCACACCAAACGTGACTCACACAAGAAAAGCACGTAACTAACATTTTTCAAAGGCAATTTTTCCCTTTTATGTCAGTAAAAGTCTTTTTATAAGGAGTAGCTTATAGCTTTATGTTTTGAGTACTATTATTCATTCGTAAATTAATACCTAGTTATGCTAATAGTTACTAAGTAAACAATAAATTGAACTATTTAAAGTTTATGCAACCTTCAGAACAAATTACTTATCCATAAGTTGTTATTAAAATATAATAAGAACAAAATTATGAAACTGAGTGTCCATACCGATGTCGTCGGCATTCTTTAATGTTATGGCTCTCCTCTCCCAACCCTTTCAAATATGTTTATCTCTTTCTTTTTAATTTACCTTAGACGAAACAGGTCATAAGTCGAAGTGACATTTTTAACAATGCAGTCGAAATGTTTTCGTATGCTAATGATTTATGTGTAAAACCGTCAGTGCAAGAGCTTTTTGGACCAGTATTCGTTTTATTTATACACGGTAAGCCTTTGAGGCGATCTTAAAGTCCAGCCGCGGGGGAAACAATGGAATATTTAATTTAAAACCTCATGAAATATAACGCTCCGTACTATACGAGTCTTATAATAACATCGGACACCAACCATTTTGTGACAGCAGTTGTCAAATTTAGTAATTGTTTTTATAGACACAGAATTAGAAAAGAAACATTTAAAATAGTACAAGGAACTGTAGTTGCAGCAAAAAACGGAAATGTATACAGAAGTAGATACTATTTATGAACGGTTGTCCGTGAAACTAGTTGCCCGTAAAAAAATGTCGCCGGTAATAAACGTCGATACAGAGAAACGGCAGGACGCTTAGAAAACAAAAGTTATTCAGTAATTTTATGACGGGTAATAATTTCTTCTAAAATTTAACAGCAAGAATTGTATACAGTCTCTACAAATATCTTCGAATGGTAGTTATCAACTTTTGTTTTGCATTTTCTTCGTCAGAAAGGGTTTTCACATTTGGCTCTATTGAGCAAGCAACTGTTGTACAATCAGTACAATCTTGTTTTAGTGAACGACTAATTTTGCGTATTAGTATGAAATGCGTGTAGTTATTTCGGAATTATGTTAGTTGGTTATGAATATACATGTTTTTAAAAGCGATAAAGGTGAACACAAAAAATATTTTGTAACCGTTACTCCTTAGAACAGTTACAATAGGCCTTCTTATAACTTCGAAAAAAAGCGTTAATTTCAAAATATCGCTAGATGAAGTAATATTACAATATGATCAGCTTCCCCTATTCTCTATCAATTAGGATCAAGATCATTCGGACAATGACTGGTATGACAATAGATCAGTCGTGACAGAAATTCTTTATTGAAACAGAGACAAACCACTTTCTATAGCTTACGGTCCTTGACCATTCCAGAAAGTGCAGCCTAAACAAGGTTCAGTTATAAACAAGAAAAAAGTAGACTATAGTTTATTCGTTTGCCCTGTGCCCGACGCGCGAAGATGAAATATTGTTATATTGGTAGCTGTAAAAGGCACTTTGTAATTTCTTCGTGATTTTATAGTTTTATGATCGTTTCGGGCCCTTTAGTCCGAAACAGCGGTTGTCTGTGTTTATGGCATAATTTAGATCCAACTAGTATAACCGACACATAATCAGCTGCTAAATGTCAGCTAATCATGGGTGAAACATCATGTTTTATTTATTGGCCCTGTTGAGGTTTTAGAGTCATAATTTGAAGTTTAATTGATTTGAATAAATTTGATGCTTTAGTTATTCGAAGAAATACAATTTCAATAGGGCAAATTGGCCAATTAATTGCTAATCCGAATTAAAGCAAAATGTTTCATTTTATAATAATAAAACTAAATAAAATATTGATAAAAAGATTCATGTTAGAGACGCTCTCTGTGAAACACTCGTTAGCATTAATATTGCTGTAAATAAAACCTAACTGATCAACAGTCAGGTACTAAATATAAAAAAGTACACAAATCAAATAATAAACAATACACATAAACAAATAAATACAGATGTACTCACTGATATAAAGCACAAAGTATTTGAAAGCAATTATATGATAGGAAATAACTACATAAGATCTGAAGGCTTACCTTGAAAAGAGTATCCGGTGAAGTACGGTGTCATATTCAGTGTTGATACAGCCATGGACGCCAATAAATTAAGAGCTAAGTGAAAAAGACGAGTAGCTCTAAACACCAAATTAGTCCGAACACATGCAAAAGTCCCAGAAGATCACTATTTCAGTCTTTCACTATCACAGCAAGAACGCAGACATAATTACGTAAAGGAAACTGCGTGTGTCTAATCCGTGTTACTTTGAAGACAGCTCAGTGCCCACTGACGTGTGATGTAAAGATGTATTTCGACTCTCAAGTGTAATCTTTCACAATCAACGGACCAACAAAAAATGGTCAAACTGGCCGCCTCCGCAGCCTTCGAAACCGCTCCACCTGATCGTTTGTCTCTTTCTACCAGCCGACTGTTTTTGTCATCTAACGAATCACCGGTCGCTAATCTTTTAAATAAAATACCAAATTCTGCTGTAAATACTTCTAATATAGATAGATTATCAAATTTCTTATTCGTCAAAGGACGTGAAACTTAAATTTCAGATATTATTTTAGATTTTCATGAAGATTTAGCCATCTATGGCGTACCGGGAGAGAGACCGGTGTGGAAACGAGATAGCACGAAGCCTCGGATCCGGTATCTTCAAAGCGAAGAACGCTTACATTAACAATGTGTGAGTCGCGCCTGAGTCGCTGTTCCGTGACGAAAAATACGAGGCGTGTTGCCACAACGATCTATGCCTACAACGATCGGGGATTGGTCAAAATTTGATTGGGGCGGAGTTTGTAAGCACACCAAGAAATTGTTACTGCATGTTTGTGTGAGTTAATTGCAATGTAAATCTGTGTTCGTGTACAGGACACATTTAGTTTCAATGTGTTTGATTTTTCAGTATTTTATAGTGTAACTCTCGGTTCTGCCGACATTAATGATATTAAGTTCTTATGAACTGAGGATAGTCCATTTTTTGAAAAAATATCATAGGTACTTACTTAACGATATTTATTATAATTGAATCTACTCACTTTGATATAACCTAATGATTCTTGCCACAAATCGATCTATAATAAAAACTATTCACAATGACAGTCACACCCTTATGCTCTTGCGCTCATCTGACGCTGCGGTTACAATAAAACTGAGCCAAAAACAATGTCCCGTTTATTTGTTTACCTGTCTGTAAAAGGGTTATTTTATTACACCAATATAATAAATAAACAGTTCTCTTTTAAAACCCTTCATAAAAATTACAGTTACAATGAAACTCCACCAATCATGTCCAAGTCCAATATCATAGATTAATTAATTAATTTTAAAATATGATTACATTAAAATGAGTACGTAATTAAAATAAGTTAATTAGAAGTTTACAAGTAATTAAGTGAACGTGTCATTGGTAGGTAAATACTTATTGTCTGAGGTTTTTAGCGCAGCCACAAGGCCGGGGTTTCATAAGCAAAGCTACGTAAACCTACCTCCACACCAACGAGTTAGCATAACAAAGCTGAGCTAAAGGCGAACTCGCATAGATAATTTGTTTGAGTCCACTTAGTTTTATTGGACGTTTAAATATATATGTTCTTCTGATAATTAGTGTGAATTATGGTTTGTATGTTTTATGCTAGGTTGGTAATAGATATTTTTAGGTTAGATAAAATTGTTAATACCTAATTGTAAAATGTCACAATGTACAATTTTAATTTTCTGAATACATAATTACAGATCATATTGATTAATAATAAATAACTAGAGGTAAGATAAATAAAAACTAAAGTATTTAAAACCAAAATGAACTAAAAAAAAGACAAGAAAAAGTAAATCAACGCATCAAAAAAAAAATTGTAAATAAAAGCAAGGAAAAAAATCTTGGAATATTTTTTGTTGCTATGTGTTTCAGTAGAACATATTAAATTGCCTATATTCTTTCATAAATACATTGCATCACCTCTAGGTAATAAGTCTTTTTTTCTAACTCTTGTTTCTTAACCATAAATAAACAGAATTAAAGAGAAATCATAACATTTACTTAACAATATTGCAACTTACATAAACAATGAACCATACTTTTTTGAACAAAAGACGACTCGTATACAAACACATTTAAAAAACTTAATTTGGAACAAGACCTCGTTCTATATACAAGTATACAATAACCAGACCTAATTTAAAAAGCGAACAACGTCAAAACTTAAAACAAATGTACACAAGCCTTTAATAAACAAGACAGGAAACAATGCAATATCGAAACGAACAGAAATCGTCGATTCATTAACACTACAGCCTTGAGTTGAGTTACCAACATTTTAATTAAAAATCAACCAACGCTTCATCGCTCTTGCGGTTTACAAAACCCTTAATTTGTATCTGGCCTATTTGCACATTAATAGCTTTAGAAGAGGTTACTCGGTTTAGCCTCTACACAAAGGCAAATCGACGTAAATATCGTGGTTACTACGATATTGTCAAATATTTGGGATATTCGTGTTCCATATTGTCTCGGATTGAGGCTGGTATGCTCCCCTAATCAAGTCAAGTAAAGCCTTCTGTAATTAAGTTACTGTACCCAAGATTTTGGTTTTAATATTCGCAATCTAATTAAACCACGCTCCTTTATTCTCTAATTGATATTTCTCTAAAAAGAAATGTCAGGATAAAGTTCTAAATACTTATAAGGTTCCAACAAATGTCGATTGTTGAAGAACAATAAAAGAGATGTGACCGCGTCTCCCCGTCTCCCCGACGTATAAGTCCACACTAATAACTTACGGTTGCAATTAAACTCACAGTTGTCACTTCACGCGTTATTAACAATCTTCATACGAGACTCGTCGCTTGCGCAGCGCACAAAAAAGGCGTGAAATGCGCTGAAATCGTTGCGCATACGCTTCAGGGCCCATTGCGCGCCAAAGATGCCGCTGAAACTATGCGCTGATGGGCCGCACACGAAGGCGGGATGTTTATTTGTACATGATTTTTTATTGACAATAAGAAATAAAACGCTTCGAACGTCTTATAAGATTTTTAGAGCTCAACACGTTTAATTGTTTTTCTTATAAGACTAAAATATTTTAAATTATACTTATTTTTACTTACATATGACTCTAAAGCACAAAATAACACGCATAATAAAATATAAGACGCTTAGTGAATAAACGGTGCGTATGCGCATGTACCTATCTATAGATAATTGCCAGTTCTCGCATCGCATCGATGAACCTCCATTTTATGAGTAACTAACACTTTCCCATGAGTTCCCAACAAGCTCGTTTTACTTCACAGCATTATCCACTTAGAGATATTTCCGAGTCGAACGAGAAACAAAAGTGATTAGATAAACGGCTCTTATACATATGAAATCAGAGATCATAAAGCACTAATTACAAATTGGTGTAACAAATCTGTCTTGGCTTATCAAAGCGGGAACACGTGCAGATAAATTATTTGGTTCGCTATTGTTTAGACGCGGCTGGTAGTGTTTGATTCGCGGTGAGTCACGGGCCGCGTAAATAACTGGGCCTGTTTTTGTACAGTTCACTAATGAGGGGCGGTCGGTGGTCGTCCCGCAATAAATTAACATCACGGATGCGACGACGTCCACGCGACGGTCTGCTAATTGCTGGCAAAAAAGTGTTACACGACGCATAATATCATTATGAAGGAATAAGGTTAATTAACGTTTCTACAAGTGTTTTCGCACTGTCGAATCAGATAAAGACCCATTCGTGCGAGAATCATGTCTGTGTAGTATGTATTTATGGGGGCGTCTACCAGATTACTAAAAATGTTTATTTGATTACTAATATAAACAAGGAATATAATTAAAAATGAGTCACCGTTTAAATTTGAACTATTTCCTTATAAAAAATCGGGGTAATAAATGAACGTAACGCATTAATAAGTCAGAACGATATGTCGTATGTCGTAATATAGGCCACATGTCACAGCAGGTCCGTGGCCTGTCTGTAATTAGTTGCATTCGACATGCCCTGCGCTGTTCCGGGGATATAACTCATAGACTTACAAATATATTTCATATTAGACCACACTAATGATATCAATGTTGCCTTTGGGGACCGTCAAATAAATTGGAGGTTTAAGTTTTTTAATATGTTTCTTATTTTGTAAATGTTGACAATGATTATATACTAAAGTTTTCTATTACTGTTTTTCTCGAAGTATCAGATTTCTGATACGATCGTTATGGAACGTCAGAGAGTAAAAAAATATTGGTTTCCAAATTTCTCATGAAAATTCTAGAGAAAGAAATGATTATATCACATCTGATTTCTGTAAAGAAGACATAAACATAAAACTAATTCCAAACGACCCACAGAAGAAATTAACTAGCGACATAAAATGTGTAAAAGATCAAAATCCACGTCAAAGTAAATGTAGTGAAACGTAGCTCAGGATATATAACGTACCGTGTGAAATGAGCCCGCCCCATGTGTAAAACAAACACTCGTAAAAATATGTCCAAATGACATGTAAAATTTTTCTACGTCACGATAACATATTGTAATGGTCCGTTACGAAAAACACTAATAGTGTCTCATGCAACAGGGGCATTAGACCGCCCTTGAAGACATGTGCCGACGGATTAGAGTCCATTATAGGAAGGAAAATCCAATTCACTCAGGGTGAATTGAATAAGCTAATGGGCTGTCCACAGAAACAAAACCATAGAAGCGACATAAATGTTAATTTCAAGCTTACCTGTTCTTTATACACTCCGTCGACGCCTCTAGGTAATTGAATAATTGGCTAATGTCAATAAAAACTTACCACAACCAATTAACGATTTCTTAAACTATTTATAATACAAAAAATATATTTTACGACTTAGTCACGTCGTTTTGTTATACCAAACAGGTTATATCCTTAGGCAGATATATTGCATATTTAAAGGCTTCCTCAATTTTAGCACATCGTGTATTGTTTCTGAAGACTTTTTTCATTTGTTCAACGTTTCCTTATTTCGTATTTTTATGATTATGAATAGAATCGCATTGATTCAATCAATAGGTTTGTTCACTCATGTCGACGGACGACGATAATATTATGGTGTCACTTCT